AACTTCATATTATAACAGAACATTCTTAAGGACCAGACTTCGTTGTTTATCAAACCCAAATTTGCTTGGGCTCTTTAATGACCTTGACCTTAAAGGTTAAATTACTGAATTTTCTCAGATTTGTGCATTAAATGACCATAATTATATATTTATTGGTGTGTGTATGTATATATATATATATTTACAACAACAACAACAAGAATTGCGTCATTGTTTCTATTTTTAGAAATTGCGTCATTGTTGCTATTTATAGAAATTGCGTCATTGTTTCTATTTTTAGAAATTGCGTCATTGTTGCTATTTTTAGAAATTGCGTCATTGTTTCTATTTTTAGAAATTGCGTCATTGTTGCTATTTTTAGAAATTGCGTCATTGTTGCTATTTATAGAAATTGCGTCATTGTTTCTATTTTTAGAAATTGCGTCATTGTTGCTATTTTTAGAAATTGCGTCATTGTTTCTATTTTTAGAAATTGCGTCATTGTTGCTATTTTTAGAAATTGCGTCATTGTTTCTATTTTTAGAAATTGCGTCATTGTTGCTATTTTTAGAAATTGTTAGAAATTGCGTCATTGTTTCTATTTTTAGAAATTGCGTCATTGTTTCTATTTTTAGAAATTGCGTCATGTTGCTATTTTTAGAAATTGCGTCATGTTGCTATTTTTAGAAAATGTTTCTATTCATATATATATATATATATATACAAAATATATAAACAAAACTAATGTCACAAGACAGACCAACTAAATTTATAAAAAGGAAACGTTAAGATATGTTCCAACCTTTCTATGTTTGCGTTTAGAAAAAGTAAAAAGTCGAGCGTTGCCCCCGCCCGGCGGTGGCTCTTGTTGTTCAAATAAGAGCCCTGGGGTTAAAATTGGCCCCGCCACGGGGATCATTGATTTTCCTGATATGTATATAGTAAAAACTTAAAAAACCTTCTTTTAAAAAACCCAAATAGCTAGAGCTTAGCTAGTAGACTTGAAACATCTTCTTGTGGGTGACTACCAAGTTTGTTCAAATAAAAGCCCTGGGGTCAAAATTGGCCCCGCTTAAGGGGGTCATTGTTTTTCCCTTTATGACTATATAGTAAAAACTAAAAAAAACCTTCTTTTGGTTTATACAGAATTTATTTTAGTTCGATTGTGTTGGAAGCTTTAAGCTTATAGACACACTTTCGAATCCGTTCCTGGAACCAACCAGTACTGAGCAATGAGTGTAAAATTTCTTGCTCAAATAAACAACGGATGACCACTGACGGGGTGTGAACCAATGCGATTAGCGATAATTAGATTACTAGTCCGGCGCGTTAACCACTCGGTCATGCCGCCACTCGAAATCTTCTTTTAAAAAACCTTTAGAGTTAGAGCTAAGATATTTAGCATGAAACAGATTTCAATGGGTGTCTACCATTTTTGTTCAAATACGGGCCCTGGGGTTAAAATTGGCCCGCCCCGGGGATCATAGATTTTCCTTATATGTATACCGGTAGAGTAAAAACTTAAAAATCTTCTTAGAGCTAGAGCTTAGATATTTATCATAAAACATCTTTAAATGGATGTCTACCAAGTTTGTTCAAATAAAAGCACCTGGGTTAAAATTGGCCCCGCCCGGGAGCCTATATACAGGTGATCGATTTCAGGGCCATCATGGCCCTCTTGTTTAACATCATTTCCCAAATGAAAAACAGTGTTCGGGGCCTAAATATGGTAATTTTTCACTGTTTGAGTCCTCAAGGGGGGGGGGTGTCGAAAAACCGTCAAAACACGTCTATATTAGGTAAAGGGTTAAACATGAGACATCTAGTGAGTGTCTACCAAGTTTGTGCAAATTAAAGCCCTGGATCAAATTGGCCCTGCCCTGGGGCCTTTATTTTCCTACATATATTTATTAAAACAAAAAAAAGGCTCTAATTAAAAAAAAAACACTAAAAAGCTAGAGCTTAGATGTATGGCATGAAACATGTACATCTAGTAAGTATCTACCAATTTGTCTAAAATTGGTCCTTGGGTCAATATTGGCCCACGCCAATTGATTTTCATTATATGCATTAATAACAACAAAAAATCAACTTTTAAAAAAACCAACATTAACAAGTATTCTGACTTAGGTGAGCGATTAAGGGCCATCATGGCCGTCTTGTTTTCGTATAACAATGTTACTTGGACTAAGTGTGCACAGATTTATATGTAAAATAGAATTTTGATAACAGCTGATATAGATATTTTAAAATGACAGATAGTTTAAAATTGAACAATATAAAAGCAATTCATAAAACAAGTGTATATGTACTTATTAGAATATAAAAAGGAAAAACATTCTTTTTTCTTTTATCCTCTTTTTAAAAAAATATTTAAATCTTTATTTGTTTGCCTTTTGAAAATGATTAAAAAATTAAGCATTGCCCCTGCCTGGCTAAAGCTCTTGTTCATCTTTCAGATAAGAAACCAACAAGTGCACAGAGTCAACGTTTAGTAGAACTTTTAACACAATCTGTAACCTCTACTGGCAAAACAGACGTAAAGGATGATACCATTGAAGAGGACTCATTTGAAAATGGTGGAGGTATTGATATTTGTGTGATAAAGCATTATTCATTACATTCATTACAATCTAACATTCGGTTATCAACATATGTAAAGATATGTAGTACATACAATACACGGAACGAGATATTGTGAATTGGCTAACCCTGGATTGAATCCTGGTAATATTGGCAAACTGCTTGACAGTTTGCCCAGGAACAATGGGGTGGCGGAACTGTGCTCTGGTAAATTGAGTATCGCATACCCCCGTGATCCGGAGTGAAAACTACCAATACCACTACCACCACTCTGAAACATTTAAGACGGGGAATAACAATGAACATTTCAAATGAGATTCTGAATTTTTGCTCGACTTTCTTTTTTTTTTTTTGAAAAAAAGAAGAGGTATTGTTGTTGCTGTTGCCGTTGCAGTTGCCGTCTGCAAACTTGTACTGGATCATAACTTTTTTAGTTCTTGGTGTATTGTCGTGGTGTCTTCATACTTGGCCACAACAACTCGTGGGACAAGACGTTTCAGTAAACCACACTAATCTTGACCTTCATCCATACATGACGTTGAACTTCAAGGTCAAAAATCCAAATTTTGCTTGTTCTTGCTATTATTGGCTGTAACTTTATTATTTTTAAATGGATTGTCTTCAAACTTGAACAGAATAATCTTCAAGGATAGCCCTTTAAAATAATTAAAAAGATTTGACCTTCACTCATAAATGACCTTGACTTTGAAGGTCAAATTTTTGAAACTATTATTTGCTGTAACTTTGTTAATTTTGAATGGATTATCTTCAAACTTAAACCTAAAAAATTTAAAGGATAGCCCTTTAAAACAAACAGACAGACCTTGACCTAAACTCATAAATGACATTGACTTTGAAAGTCAAAATATTGAAAATTTCATTTTTATGGCTGTAACTGGCTGTTGCTTTGCTTTTATTGAATTAATTTACTTCATATTATAACAGAACATTCTTAAGGACAATACCTTTATGGTAATCAAACTATTGACCTTGGCTCTTTAATGACATTGACCTTTGCTCTTTTATGACCTTGACCTTGAAGGTTCGACTTTTGAATTTTCACTGATTTGTGCATTAAATATAAATATATCTTTTTCTTTTTATTTTCTTCTGTAATACACATGGGGATATATTAAAAAAAGGATTCATACTTTGACAAAACTAATGTGACAAGACACACCGATTAAATTTGTAAAAACGAAACGTTAAATTTTGTTCAAACGTTTCTTTGTTTGCTTTTAAAAAAAGTAAAAAGTCGAGCAAAGCCCTAGCCCGGCAGTGGCTCTTGTGAGCTTTACTGTACAATGTATATTGAGAGCTTCCCTACTTGCTCAGGCGTCCGCGTCCAGATTTCAGATTGAAGTTTTGGTGCAGTAAAATATTTTTCACTATAACTTTTTCATTTCTTAAGGTATCAACTTTAAACTTCAAATATATGTTTCTTATCATTAACCATATCTTATGTGATAAGGTTCATAACTCTAGAACCAATATTTTCATATTTATTTCCCATTGAACTTAGAATTTTCCTTTAAAAATATTATTTTTTACTGTCACCTCTGTATTTCTTAAGGGAACAAATTCATACTTCAAATATATGTTCCTTAGCATCAACTACATCTTATGTGACAAGGTTCATAACTCTAGCACCATATTTTAAGATTTATCTCCCCTTTAACTTAGAATTTTCCTTAAAAATATTATTTTTTACTGTTACTTCTTTATTTCATAAGGAATCAACTTGATACTTCAAATATATGTTCCTTATCATCAACCACTTTATATGTGACAATGGTCATAACTTAAGCACCGATATTTTTAGATTTATCTACCCTTGAAATTAGAATTTTCCTTCAAAAATATTATTTTTACAGTTTCTTCTTTATTTCTTAAGGGATCTAATTCATACTTCAAATATATGTTACTTATTATGAACCACATCTTATGTGACAAGGTTCAAAACTGTATCACCAATATTTTAAAATTTATCTTCTTTTGAACTTAAAATTTTCCTTAAAAAATATTATTGTGCCCCCACTTTAGTGGCGGGCATTTAGATTGTCTGAGCGCACGAGAGGGTATATGTTCGGTACTAAATACTCAACAACTACCAATCCTACTCATTCCGTATGTATTGTTGGGTATTTTTAATGATTTTGATGTATTGTTGGGTACTTTTTTACACAGTAAATACCCAACAAGAATACAAATGTGAGGATGTCCGTGAGGATGTCCGTCCGTCCGTCCGTCCTTCCGTCCGTACAAACCAGAGCTACATTATGGGGTTTGGTCTATTGTTCTCATAACAATAGATGCCTTTGATTTCATTCATTCCGTTTCTCTTGTGGAGTTATTTTCTGCATTGTGGGGTTAAAAAGAACAAAAGAAATAACAAAAGAAAACCCATAATGTAGCTCTGGTAAGAACGTCCGTCCGTCCGTTCTCCTTTGTGTCGCACGTAACTCAAAAATTCATTGACCTAGAGTCATGAAACTTTACAGGAATGTTGATCGGCATGTGTTATTGTGCACCTGGGTATTTTCGTCTGGATATTTTTAGTATTTTTTTAGAGTTATTGCCCTTGACTTAGTAAAATTTTGCAATTTTCAACTTGTGTCACATGTTACTCTAAAGGATTTGGCATAGAGTCATGATACTTTACATGAATATTGATCAGCATGTGTAGTTGTGCACCTGGGTATTTTTGTCTGGATATTTTTAGTATTTTTAGAGTTTTTTGCCCTTGACTTAGTAAAATTTTGCAATTTTCAACTTGTGTCGCATGTAACTCAAAAGTGTTTGATCTAGAGTCATGAAACTTTACAGAAATGTTGCTGAGCATGTGAAGTTGTGCATCTAGGTATTTTTGTCTGGATATTTTTAGTATTTTTAGAGTTATTGCCCTTGACTTGGTAAAATTTTGCAATTTTCAACTTGTGTCGCATTAAACTCATAAAGTATTTGACCTAAAGTCATAACACTTTACCGGAATGTTGATCAGCATGTGTAGTTGTGCACCTGGATATTTTCGTCTGAATTTATTATGTATTTTTAGTGTTGACTTAGTAAAATTTTGCAATTTTCAACTTGTGTCACATGTTACTCTAAAGGATTTGGCATAGAGTCATGATACTTTACATGAATATTGATCAGCATGTGTAGTTGTGCACCTGGGTATTTTTGTCTGGATATTTTTAGTATTTTTATAGTAATTGCCCTTGACTTAGAAAATCTTTTGCAATTTTCAACTTGTGTCGCATTAAACTCAAAAAGGATTTGACATAGAGTCATTAAACCTCATTGGAAGGTTGCTCAGCATATTTAGTTTTGCACCTGGGGTTTCGCTTAAGGATTTATCCAGTATATGTAGAGTTATTTCCCTTGACTTACTAAAACCGTTTCATTATGTTGTTATTTGTTCCTTCAGTACTTTAGTTAGAATCAACCAACTTTACAGGAATAATGATCAACATCACTAAATTACAGGAATAATGATTCACCTCACTGTGAAGCTATGCACCTGGGACTTTGCATGTGGATTTTTTCCAGTTTTGTTAAGAGTTATTTCCCTTGACTTCCAGTAGTATAAATTTGCAATTTTCAACTTGTTCGTGTATAGCTCAAAAAGTATTTCAATTGTAGGCCTGAAAGTTTACAAGAATAGTGGTCAGCATGTGTACTTTATGCAACTTGGGGTTTGCTTGTGGATTTATTCAGTATTTGTAAAGTTCTTGCCCTTAAATAAGTAAAAGATTTTTAGTTTTTAAAAAATATTTGACCTAGAGTCATAAGATTGACAGAATAGTGGCGCGGCGGGGGCACCCGTGTCCTATGGACACATTTCTAGTTTTTAGCTCACAAAGTGACAGGGTGAGCTTTTGTGATCGCTTTTCGTCCGTCCGTAAACTTTTGCTTCAAAGTTTCAAGTTTATTTCAAAGTACATTTGGACAATATGTCCATGCATACACAGTACATATAACAAAGCATACAATACAATCAAATGGTCAATGTCACACTTTATAAAACATATATCACTAAGTTACACAGTATTTTATTAATATTATAAAACATATATCATTAAGTTACACGTAAACTATAGATAGAATATACTATCAACATGTCTCAATTCATATACTGGTAAATAAATACTAAGGAAAGATACCATCCTATTAATAAGGAAGTTAATCACAAAACAAAACGAAAATAAGTGTATGTAAGATACAGTGATACAGCGTTTGGGGCAAACTTTTAATTAACTATAAAGAATAGTGTTTCGAACATCGAAAGATTTAAATATATACATTGATAAGTTTCTAATTTCTATTTCATTTTCTGAATTCATCAATGTAACAAATTTAGGTATATTTGGTCTTTTCCAAAAGTGTTTTTTTTATATATTTTTTCGTAATTCATTATATAGAGAACATTCTAAAATAAAGTGAAATTCATCTTCCAAAATAAAACATTTTTCACATTTCCTATCATCAAAAGGTATAGCACTAGGTTTATTCCACCTGCCGGTTTCAATCTCGAGTCTATGTGAAGAAACTCTTAGCCGGGACAGAGCAATTCTAAATTTTTTCAATATTAATACAGTTTAAATACTTTTGAAATTTAAAATCTGCAAATATTACATTTGTACGAGCTCTACTTGAGTTATTTATTTCTGAAAACCAATTTTGGATAAAAACATCATTTACTCTTTGTTTTACTAAACTAATAAATACATCTACATTGCCTACGCCTTGACATAACCATGCATCATTAAAACCAAGCGACTGTAATAAATCTTTAACACTTCTAACCCATGTTTTTTGTTAGGTCTTACCTGTAACTCTCTGTACAATAAATCATAAAATATTGTAACATATTTTATATCTTCAAGCTGTATAATTTTAAGCCAATATTTTATTACACTTACAATTCTTCTGCATTTCAAATTTGTTCTACCTAATTCACCATAAATAAAATTGTTCTGAGTTTGTAGTCTGACATCTAACA